GAGAGAGAGAGAGAGAGAGAGAGAGAGAGAGAGAGAGAGAGAGAGAGAGAGAGAGAGAGAGAGAGAGTGCGCGCGCTGACCAATTGAAAGCTGCTTCCTTCGATAACAGTTGTTCAACAGTGTAAGACAGACCAGGGTTTTTTACCGTTTTTAGATTGAAAGTATATGACAGTACCATGTATTTTATAGAAAAAGGACACAAAACAAACTTAACAAAGTTCATAAAAAGCCATTTGTCTTGAATTCAGGGACTGTTTGTTTGTGACACAAAGGAATGAATAAATGAACTGTGTACCTAACATCTACGTAAGTCTAACTGTCTGTTTAGGGAATCTTTCATCCACAAAATAACTACTTGTGAATCAGTTACTCACCCCGTGTCACGTTGAATTTGTGAAGAAAACATGCTTTTCTCACATGACACAACTGATGTAGTATATAATCCAAGTGTCATTTATCCAGACTATGTCAGGGCTGACACATGGAGACAGATAACCATTCACACCTGTGGGCAATTTAGAGTCACCAGTTAACCTAGCCTGCATGTCTTTTGACTGTGGGAGGAAGCCTGAGTACCCAGAGAACATGCAAACTCCACACAAAAGGGCCCCCCCACCCTTGGTTTGAACCAGAAACCCTCTTGCTGTGAGGCGACAGTGCTTACCACTGCACCACCGTGCAACACAAGGTGAATAACTTAAATAAAAATGGTCAAATTGTAGGTAAAGTATCCCTGTAAGCACAATACACAAACATAAGTAATAGCCATGCTGATACCTACTATTATGGAGAAAATCATACACTCATCAGTGCTACCGGTAGATGCAGGCTCAACACAAGACATTCAAAAAAGCTCTAAGCTGACACACTTAAGGTGATAAAGCCGACAGCCTATCTGTCAAACACAGGTGCAGCCAACATTATAGACCGCTGTGTTAAATTGGCTTAATTGCTGTAACACAGCCTTTGGTAATCTTATTTGGGCCACCTGTGGTTTTCCTGTGAATTGAAAATATTCATTGTGGAAAAAGTTTGTGTCATGCTCATTTGGCAATGATTAAGGCCCTGTTTAGACAACACAGGGCCTAAGAGACATGTCAGTCAAATCCAAAACATGAAGCTTATCTCTCTTATCTCTATCCTCTCAATGTACAAATAACTGATTTTTTTTTTTTTTTTTTAAGTTTGGGCACTACTAAGGGCCTATGTTTGGCCTGTCACAGTAGGAAAAACACATGGTAACAGTAAAATTAATGCTGGCTGAATTCCATCTAGCTGCTTTGTTTTCAAGGTCCTAGGCCCATATTCACAAAGCTTCCTAGTATTAAGAGTTGCTCATAGTGATGAAATTCTAACAAAATTTTTAGAGTTGTGATGTTTTCTTAGAATTTCCCCTTAAAGTTAAGACTAGGTCCTTGTTAAGATAAAAGTTATTTACAGAGCACCTTAGCCCTTAGAAAAGCTCCTAAGGTTAAAAACCTTAGGAATGTAAGGAGCAGAGAGGAGGACTTTTAAGAGGCTTAAGAGTTTCTTAATCAGAGGAGAAAATGGTGGAAACACAAAGAGGTTGGAGAAATATTCTCCAAATGCTGGATGACAGTGAGTAAATGACATTTCACAGATTAGATAATACAGGGATAATATGTGTGGCTGATGTCATTAGGGATATGTACATATTTCCCACGTAATGCTGTAACACCAGAAATAAAATGCTCACCACACTAAGATATTTGGAAAACTGGGAAAATGCAGCAGTGCAGCTGTGATGACTTGAGTCTGTCTCAACCTTGCGTCAGCAGAGTGATCACACTAACAATGACAACACTTTCACAGTCAGCAGTTCATTTCATTTCCACTGGGTGTCCACACCTTGCAGGCTCACATAAGGGCGTGTCTGTGACAACCCATCACATATGTGAAAACAATGCTTCATACTTAGCAACAGAGTCAACCACACCTCCTCACTAAGGTCAAAGTTTCTTTCCTTTCCTTGCTCTGAGTTGCTCTGAGAACTTTCCTAAATCACTCCCAAACTAGGACTCCTTACTAAAAAAGTTTAGGCTAAGTTAGGAGCTCTCTGAGAGTATTCTTAAAATGTTTGCGGTACTGTTCATGCTGACTCACTGTCACACTGCTATGGCTTACTGGGACACTTGAACAGAGTAGAGCCATCATAGATGTTATTAGTAACTTGCTTTTCCTGACCTACGACAAAACATTTCTTTTGTCCACATTTAGTTTACAGTTAATACTATTTAAATTGATTGAATACAAAAAGACGTTATCTCCTTTAACCAGTCACAAATAACTTCAGTTCAGCGTCAACATTGAATTTTAATACAGTCCACAAAAAAATACAGTCTGAGCATCAAATAAATCATTTGTACATATACAGCGTGATGGGTCAGTTAGCATACAGTTAATCATAGCCTTGAGGAAGCAGTACACACTGACAGTAGCACTTCAGTCCAGTCAGTTAAGCCAAGATGGATATGTGAGTAAAACAGAGAAGAACAAAGTGAAAGTATTCTTTAAACTTGAGGAATAATGATCAAAGCTGTAATAACTGATAATTCAAATTCACTCAATCACAACTTTATTCTATTTGTGCACACATTACTCCGTCATTTAACAGTCAAGGCACGGTTTAGACTCCCCTCTGGGTGGCACTGTGGTGCCGTGCACAGTAGTCCAAGTCCAGTCTGTTTAGTTTGATCAAGTACAATTACAGAAAACAAAACCAGTTTTTCTTTGTCTCTAATACTGACAATTTGAAAACACAAGGCCTCAATGTGAGCTGTTTGTACTGGTGTTCTGCATTTCACAACAGTTTGTCTGTCGCCGTCTCTCCCACCGGGACAGAAGGCAGTGTGGAGGTGTTTAGTTTGGAGCGCAGCCTCTGGACCAGCCAGTGACTCCAGAATTTGTCTTTTCCTCACTTAGAAAATTTCTCCATCTCTGCAAGAAGAAAAGAAAAGTTGAGGTGAGAGAGGATGGAAACGAGGCAGTTCTTGATCTCTGACATTGCACGTGTGTGTGTGTGTGTGTGTTACCTTTGTCAAGATCAATGACTTTAGGCTGAGTGCTCATGTGGACCTTCTCTTTCAGCAGGTTGTTCTTGTAGTCTAAAATCACAGAGGGGGAAGTCAAAACACATAAACACACAGTCGAGACCAAAGCTACTTTATTTGTCTTTTCTCTGACTCACCGAATCTCCTCTCCTCCTGAGTGCACTCATTCACTTCAGTAACGTCCATCTCAAACTCTTCGGAGCTGCTCTGACTCCTGCTGGACCTATCATGAAAAGACAGTAATGCCTGAGCGTGTGTTTAAGGGTAGGACAGGGATTGTGTGTGTGTGTGTGTGTGTGTGTGTGTGTGTGTGTGTTCTCACCTCATGGATGCCTGTGGATAATACTCTGAAAACACAAGAAAATTAGATGAGTTTCACTCAGAAATGTAAATTCAATGTAAATGTAGAGTCAGACTGAGGCACTGCAGGTCAGACCTTTGCTCTTCCGTCTGCGTGTGATGAGGATGATGATGAGGATAATGAATGCCAGCAGCAGGAAGGAGGTGAGGACGTAGCCCAGTGGCAGGAGAAAGTGATGTCTCTGGTCTGGCAGGATAACATTGATGACTCGCGGTGATTCAGCCTTAGTGGTGTCTGAGTAACACAGAAATCACAACAGTCAGCACCTAGTGTTCCTCTGTTCTTCATCCTTTCTCTCAAAAACAAACCAATGTGTCATCCTGAGGTTTACAAATGTAATAATCAAGACCAGATTTACATTGAACACATTACGCACCTCATGAGTAACATAGACAAAAACATTTTAGCTGCACTAGCAGTGCTGGTTGGTACATCTCAACAATAAGACACCAGTTAGATGAATTGCAATGAAATGTGGTGCCTGTGAATCTGTCTGACTTTGGTGATATTCTGACTTTTACTTTAGCGCCACCAGCAGGCCAAACTTTAAGATCCTGTTAAATATTGCAACATCTAATCTCTATAAACAGATATCTGCATATGAAAGCAGAATCTGTAGGAAATTGTACAAAATTTTAGTAATGGAAGTGTGTGTAATAGTCTGAGGAGTGTTAACCAATCATGTTTGAGTGGGCTTTGGTTGCCTACAGGTGAACAGTTCCTGTGGAGAGCAAAAGAGGAGGAGCACATCGGCCAAACTGCAATTTCAGAACCCATCGGCTAGCATCTGACGACAATTTAGCTTTTTATTAGCTCATTTTTTAAAATCTGTAATTCAATGCAGATATTTGTAGAGATTAGCCAAAAGTCTATTCTCATATGTAGGCTACTTGTTAACTGGACACTAACCAATTACTGGCACACGAAAGAAGAAGTCTTGGCTGAGATATCTGTGATGGTAAATGTTAAATGGACTTGCATGTAACCAGTGTTTTTCTAGTCTTCCAACCACTCAAAGTGATTTTACACTACTTTCCACTTTCACCTATTCACACACACATCTGTATAATCGTGGCCATACAAGGTCATCAATTCAATATTCACACACAATCACAAGTTGGGCAATTTGGGTTCAGTATCTTGCCTAAACATGCGGACTGGAGAAGCCAGGAATCAAACCACCAATGTTTCAATTAGTGGACGACACACTCTATCTCCTGAGCTACAGCTGCCCGGGATGTCTGCAGACTACACCCATAGACTGTACAAATAATGGACGTAGCTACTGCGCTGTTACCCATTGTTTGTGGACTGTTATTTTTGAAGCCTCAAGAGTGAAGCCTCATCTTGGCTTTTTGGAGCCAGAAGTGACCATATTTGGGCGAGAGGCTGGCACTTTGGAGGAGCGAGGGGTGGATCGGCAGACAGTATGTCACTCAAAGCATCCCGCC